TCAACCACCTAAGCCAGCAGGTTAATGACTTTGCACACAAGTCAGTTAAGTGAATCAAGATTTGTAATGAATGTCCTGGGAGACAAAACTCGTAGAAAAATATTTGTTCATAATAGGGCGGTTCAACTAGACGTTTTACAGCCCTTTTTTTTAAGTTTCACGTCCTGTTCGGCCAACTCAAATTATAAGTAAAATTTTTGGTTTGTGAACCACCTTCAGAGGTAGTTCACCCTTTTGCAAACACAAATTTATTTTTTATGCTTGTCCCTGATATTGTAAAATTTTAAAATGAAATTTGTGTTTGCAGCAAAAACATTCACTTCCTTCTTTTGGGGGGGAAATGCCTCTGGATTGTGACGTTTTTTTCACACATATCCTGTTTTTCCGCAGTTGCCTCCTTCATTAACAAATCTTTTTGTGATATCTTGAAAAATGTGGAATGAAGAGGAGAAATAGAATGTGGACAAGAGGAAGTGTGATGGACCAATGAGATCATGTTTCAATGTTGACCTGCCACTAAACACAAACACAAGTACAAGTGTTTAATGTTAAAGTAAAGGAGCGCAGAAAAAACTTTGACTTTTGGGACAGTGACCCTGATTTTATATTCACTTAAAACTTATATTTACGGTGTTTGTGGCTATGCAAGACCAAATTTTAAGGTGCGGCTGACCTCAAAAAACTGGATTCAGGGTCTGTGTGCAGGTTGTTTGCAAATCTCTTCTTGGACTGCCCTAATAGAAATGGATGAACTTAGATGATTATAGAAAGGTTACAAAGGTTTTCAGAACTGTTGTTTGGTCACAATTCACCCTCCCCACTTCAACTACTTTGTTCGAGCTTCCTTTGTTGCTTGATCCTTTTCTGATTGAATTTTGATGAACACCTTTTATAACCTACCTCTTGTCGCCTTTCCCAACAACACCCCACCAATATGACACAGATGTCGGTATTGTATTGGTTTTGTATTGGCAATCCAACACAAAAAATCAGATTTTCTCATATTGGTTCAGCCAACACCACATGTGGAGCACCTTTTTTCATGTTGGGTATTGGCAATACCATATCCAGGCTTGAACCGACATTAGATCACCTCATAAATTGACTGCTTTGAACCCCAATTGCAGTTGAAATGGCACTTTTGCCACAAATTCCATATTGTATTGGCTCCTATTGTTTGGGCAATACAATATGAGCTGCAAGATTTTTTTGGTTTTCATATTGTATTGGGTATTGGTTCAGATATGTCTGTCCCCCAATACCACATGCAAAGTGTCCAAAAAGTGGCATTGTCTTGGATTGGTTTGGGTGTTGTTCCCAAATCCATCTTCCTTGGGTGACCAGCCCTGATTCCCATTTGTCAAACATGTCACAACTTCCAATCACTTCATGAGGCATATATGCACAGCCAGCATATATGCAAAAATATGAGTTCTTGGACTTCCACTCCAAGGGAAGCTCCAGCCAAGGATCCAATCCAAGGCAACCGCAATGGCCAAAATTTGCCTCAGAGGTATTCCTTGGGTGCCCTTTTCGTTGGGGGGGGCATCCAAGGACTCCTTGGACATCTGTTGCTGAGGCAACTATGGGGGCAGTGCTGGGTGGTCCGGTAAAAAACAGAAAATGTTTGCTGTGATACATCCCTTCCATTGTTGAGAGTTGAGGGCATGTGGCTCTTCCGGTCAGTGGCCACATTATTATCTGTTGGTCTGCAGACCTGCCCAGATGCAGGCATCATCTTAAGCTCTTTTGAAGCTTGTATGAAGTTTTGGTGAAATCTTTCTGAAGCTTTCATGAATTTTTCATGAATTTTTCATGAATTTTTCATGAAGTCGAGGTAATCTCTGGACTGCCAGAGCCTAGTAGATGGGGGCTGTGATTCCTCTTTCCAGAGTACAGCCAATATCATATAATACAGCCAACTTACACTACAAAGAATTTAATGTTTTCTGGGCAGAAAACACAAATATTAATATACAAAAATATTGGGCGGTCAGGAGGAGGGCAAAAAATACAAAATATATGGATATTGTTGCTGGTG